ACCCTAGGCGCATGGGCCTCTTGGGGCTGGTGCCCTTGGCCCATGTAGGCCAAGGCGCACCCCCTACAGCCCATGTGCCCCCCCGGGGCAGGTGGCCCCACCCGGTGGACCCCCGGGACCCTTCCGCTGGTCCCGGTACAATACCGATGACCCCGAAACTTGTCCCGATGGATGAAACAGGATTTCCTATATATAAATCTTTACCTCCGGACCATTCCGGAACTCCTCGTGACGTCCGGGATCTCATCCAGGACTCCGAACAACATTCGGTAACCACATACAAACTTCCTTTACAACCCTAGCGTCATCGAACCTTAAGTGTGTAGACCCTACGGGTTCGGGAGACATGCAGACATGACCGAGACGTTCTCCGATCAATAACCAACAGCGGGATCTGGATACCCATGTTGGCTCTCACATGTTCCACGATGATCTCATCGGATGAACCACGATGTCAAGGACTTAATCAATCCCGTATACAATTCCCTTTGTCTATCGGTACGATACTTGCCCGAGATTCGATCGTCGGTATCCCGATACCTTGTTCAATCTCGTTACCGGCAAGTCTCTTTACTCGTTCCGTAACACATCATCCCGTGATCAACTCCTTGATCACATTGTGCACATTATGATGATGTCCTACCGAGTGGGCCCAGAGATACCTCTCCGTCACACGGAGTGACAAATCCCAGTCTCGATTCGTGCCAACCCAACAGACACTTTCGGAGATACCCGTAGTGTACCTTTATAGCCACCCAGTTACGTTGTGACGTTTGGCACACCCAAAGCACTCCTACTGTATCCGGGAGTTGCACAATCTCATGGTCTAAGGAAATGATACTTGACATTAGAAAAGCTTTAGCATACGAACTACACGATCTAGTGCTATGCTTAGGATTGGGTCTTGTCCATCACATCATTCTCCTAATGATGTGATCCCGTTATCAACGACATCCAATGTCCATGGTCAGGAAACCGTAACCATCTATTGATCAACGAGCTAGTCAACTAGAGGCTTACTAGGGACATGGTGTTGTCTATGTATCCACACATGTATCTGAGTTTCCTATCAATACAATTCTAGCATGGATAATAAACGATTATCATGAACAAGGAAATATAATAATAATCAATTTATTATTGCCTCTAGGGCATATTTCCAACAAGTTGTTGTTACAAGGATGGCAAGTTTGTGTTTTCCATAGATTTTCTCTATTTGTCATATTATACAATAACTCCTAAGATTCGAACGACTCTTATGCGAGCATGCATTGCAAGGCGCAACCCTTTTGGGGACCAAACCCCAAAAATCCTGCGACCCCATTTGCAGCCGTGGGCCCGATAATTAATCTCCCCATTCAATTGTGGGGTCCAGTCTCCCTCCCTCCCAATTAACTGTGGGGCCCAATAATTAATTCCTCTCCCCTCTGATTTAATTGTGGCCCTGTTGATTCCACCGGGGGCAAGAAGCTGCATGCATGGGACTCACACTTTGCATGCATGGTAATTAGGATTAGTTGAAAAAGGTAGAAAGACTTCTAGTGCATTGCATAAGAGCAAGTATAGTAAGGTGATATAAGTGAGCTATAAGGATTTAAATATTATATTGTTGCTGAGTTAGAAGAGAGAGAAGAGAAGTGTGCTGCAGAGTTACAATCGGTTGTAGCATGGGCTCCAAGAAGCTCTGTGAGAATGAAAGGTGAGTCATACACCAATAAAGTACTCCCTCCATCCCATGATATAAGATGATTTTTCAAGCTAACATAGCTTGAAAAAAAATCTTATATTATGGGACGGAGGAGTAGTATTTTCTTGTACCTAACTAGCTAACTAGTATACCTGTTGGCTATTACATTTGCTATAAATGAAAACATGTTATAGCTAGCAGTTGGTTATACTATTAACCGTGCTTTGATCCGGCTAGGTAGCTAGTTGAAACTGCACGCCCAGGATGCGTGTGAGTTATCAGCCCCATGACTTCTGTAAATAACACACGGCAAGTATATTTTTTTGAATCATCACTGCAGTTGGTACAATTAAGGTGAAAATTACTTTTCTTTCTCCTGCTTTGCCACATGCCAAGTCTTTTGAATCGTCACGATAACCTAGTGAATTTAAGAAATGACATCTAGTTAAGTATAGTAAGCAAAAGTAGCACGGAAAATATTTCCAAAAACCTTTTCTTATCACATGGCAAACCCTTTTTTGGAACATGACTTCTGGTTTCTTTATTTAACTTTATCACATGGCAAACCTTTGTCCTTAAACATGGTAACCTGGTATAATTTAAGCGGACATATTATAATAATAATGCATCCTAAAAACAGAGTTGTCAACTAAGTCTGCCAACCTTTATTTTTGGAAATGGCACATACTTTTTGCTTGTCGTATGGCTTCCAATATAAACTTGCCATTGCCTATGAATAAAACCTACCACATTTGCAAGATTTGCCATGTGTACACATATAGTTGATGCACAAAAAAAATTGACGTGAATTAAGATAAATACGAAGTTGCCAGCCTAAAAGTTAACACAAATTCCCCGTGATTACTATAGATCCAGTGGCCACGATCTCATGGATAAGTGACCATGCATAAGTGATAGCATAGTGACAACTTAAGGTCCATGTTCTAGTGAACAAAATTTACCTAAAATTGCCATATGACTAGCCCAAACATTTCACAATTTGCCACGTTTTGTAAAACAATTTTCCATCAATTTGCCATGTGACTATTACATTTTTTTTTCAAATTTTCCCATGACGTATGAAAGAAACTTTTCTAAATTGACCATGTGACTAGTCCAAACATTTCAATTTTTTCCATGTTGGAGAGAACATTTTTTCATAAAATTTCCATGTGACAAATACAGATTTCCAAATTTTCCCATGATGTAGTAAACAAACATTTTCTAAATTTTCCATTTGATTAGTATGAACATCTTCAAAATAGAGAGCCAAATTTCTTAATTCTCCATGTTATACTAATATTTTTCTATAATTTGCAGCACTATCATATTTCAGGATTTAGCACATACATTTACATATAGTTGCCTTAATTTATAGCAAATTTATTCATAAGTTGCCATGTTTTCATTTTTCCTGGAATATATCTCTAGTATTAAAGTGGAATTGGTTCCGTCGCCTCCCCTCCTTACGGGTATTTTCCTCCCCGTGTTCCCCTCCCTCATTTGGTGTCATATTTTTTTAACCCCAACCGATGCCGCACAAAATAAAAATCTCTACTATTAATGAGGAGTTGCTTCCCTTGTCACGCCTTCTTTCTCAGTTTTTCCTACCCGAGTTCCCCCCCCCCCCTTTGGTTCCCAATTTTTTTGGTAACCCCAACCGACGCCTCACGAAATATTAACCAACATAAATATAGTAACTTGAAATAATTAAACGAAATCGATACTTTACCAAAACCATGTTCTACATTAACTCAATGAAATCAGTCTTACCAAAATCTTTAACTAAATTAAAACCTTCCTTCCCTCCCACATATACTAAAATCAAAATAAATGTTACAATTTTTTTGATGTGAATTAAGATAAACACAAAGTTGCCAGCCTAGAAAGTTAACACAAATTTGCCATGATTACTATAGATCCAGTGGCCATGATATCATGGATAAGTGACCATGCATAAGTGATAGCATAGCAACAACTTAAGATGCATGTTCTAGTGAACATAATTTCCCTAAAATTGACATGTGACTAGTCCAAACATTTTACAATTTGCCATGTTCTATAATTTTTTTTCCATAAATTTGCCATGTGACTACTAAGATTGTTCTAAATTTTTCCATGATGTATGGAACAACTTTTCTGAATTTACCATGTGATCGGTCCAAGCATTTCTAAATTTTCCATGTTCTAGAGAACATTTTTTCATAAATTTGCCATATGACAATTACAGGTTTTCTATTTTTTTCCCATGATGTAGCAAAGAAAATTTTCTAAATTTTCCATTTGATCATTATAAACATTTTCAAAATTTGTCATGTTCTATGGAACCAAATTTCCTAATTTTCCATGTTATACCAAATTTTGTTTCTATAATTTGCAATGCTAGCATATATTCAGAATTTTGCACGTACATTTACATAAAGTTGCTTCAATTTATAACATTTTTTTCATAAATTTTCATGTTTTCATTTTAGGGGCTATTTTGCCATGCACAAACGTTGATTGCCACACACAACGTTTGATTTGGGGTTTGATATTGTTTTCCTTAGATGCGTTTTTGTCGCTAGTAGCCATGCGTGCCGCCGATTTTGTTTCGTGAATGGCCTTTAGGAAGCCGTTGTGCGAATGTGCAAGGAAGAATAGATCGATGGGGGACACCCTTGTTGAAGTTGGCAAGTGAACGTTGGTTGGGCCGCGACCATGCGCTCATGTCGATGACCATCGAGGGGAATGTCCAGTTTATAAGTAGTAGAGAAGAGACGGAGAAGTAGGGATAGAGACTTTACTGTTCTATCAACTAGACTATCATGTTATTAATTTCATGTATAACAAAGATTACATATTGTCATTGTTTTAAAAAAAAGATTACACATCGACACCACACATAAATATGAAATCTAGCATGATATACTCCCTTCATAAACTTTTATAAGACGTTTTAGATACTATGTTTACTACACGTTTATAACGGTGCAATATAAAATCTAACATGATATACTCTCTCTATAATAAACTTTTATACTAAGACGTTTTAGAGACGATGTTTATGAGTACACGATTATAACGGCACAAGAATGAATCTGCCGCTGATTTTTGGCAGAAATGACATCACCATCACCATCAGATAATCTCTGGTGAATCCCCCGCCGTCGACACGAAACGCAAAACATGTGAAAAAGACCATAAAAACCGATGCAACTCGCGGGGAGGAAACAGAGGCGGCCCCTGCGTGTGAAAAGGGGGCAAACATTGAAAGAAAGAAAAAAAAGAGCCCCCGTCCGCGGCCACCGCCACCGGCCTCCCCCGCCCGCCCATGGCCATTTCCCCCCTCGTCGTCAGCGGGGCCGCCGTCGCCACGCTCGCCGTCCTCGGCCTCGCCGTCTACGCCTGCCGCCGCTGGTGCCGGGGCGCGCCCCCCGCCGCGCCCCCGCCTGCCTCGTCCTCCCAGGTCAGCCCCCCACCACCCCTGGAAATCTCCCTTCGGTTCCTTCCGTCCCCCCTCGATCACGGCGCGGATCTGCCGCGGGGGGCGGCCGCGCGGCCGGCTGCCCCCGTCGTTTCCGGGGCGCGCGGGGAATCTCGATGGCGCGGTTAGTTCGAGGGGGGCTCCGCTAGGTCGGCGATTTGGTTTCGAGGGATTTGGGATAGCGGGGCGTTCTTGGTGTTGCGTCGCGTCGAACATTTCGGCAAGATTGGTTGCAGCGGACGAGGGGCGATGTTGGTACTGCAATAACATGCCTGTTCCCCGCGCTAGACTGGCCCGTGGTGACTCGGAGGACATGGTATTTGAGCAACTTTGAGGTTTGATTGGATCATTAGCCTTTGCCATTGGGATTATCGACCTAACACGCTGATGTGTTTATTGGCTCAGCTGCCACGCACTTCGGTACAACGGAGACAATTGGGCAAACTATGATCATCTTGCATCTCTAAGCTTACCAGCCATTACCGTAGTTATTTAAAAAGTGCTAGGCGTTAATTGTGCGGTTGGCCACTGCCTTGTGCTTAAATCGCACGCTTATGCGCAGATTAAGTGCTACGCATTTTGCTATTGCCTAGAGCCTAGGCACGCCATTTATAACTATGTTCATTACTGAATGCTTCTCAACGCAATGCATTATTATTGGCCTTTACTTACCCTCAGTAGACCTTTTTGTTGTTGTCATATTCTGTTTACTTCTGTAGACCTTTTTTGTCACCAGCCACTTCTACCTCAGTAAGCTAAATGCTTTATGAAATTATTTTCGTGTTGATTTGAATGATACATTGCATCTCATATGGTCGGGCATGAGTACAACTAGCTTTTGATCCACTCAAAAACTTGTACTAGGGTTATAAAAAACCCATTATCTTGCTTTCTTGTGAAGAGCATGGGATATTATGTTCTCATTTAATCCTACATGATGTTTATTTACTTGAAGAAAAAAACTTTGGCTGTGGTAATGCAACTATGGGTATGTTTGGATGGACACCAATACCAGGGTGAGCCAAAATTGGCGTATTTTGGAGGTTGTTTGGATCCACGTCAATTTTGGCTCAAACCAGGTGCGCCCCTCCTGATTTTCGCCAAACCACGGGCGAAGCGAGGACGTGGACATTGTCCGTCAAAGATTTGGCAGCCAAATCCTCCGCACTGTCTCCTCTCTTATACGGTCATTTTCCACTTCCTCTTCTTGCCCGCACACCACAAGCCCCAAGCAGAAAACCATTGTCAGATCTGCAGGTCCCACCGGCCATAGTGGTCCGGCGTCGACCTGCTCTGCTCCGAAGGCCTTCCTCCCCCCACCCTCAATCAATGGAATCACATTGCATCCAAAGCCCAGCACCCGAATCCTCCTCAACCCTATACAGATTGCCTTTTCCAATGGTGTGATTTTCCTCACTCTTGTCCGTTTAGCTGTAGATGCACTTGTGCGTAACTAATACTAGATGTGGTGTGTGTTTAACAAATCAATGTCTTATGTGTTTGTAGTTCACACAGATCTGATTCTATGGAGTAGCTAATATGAACATGACTGGGCTATTTTATTTTTTGTAGTAAGCAACATTTTGTGGAATATCTTTTGTCTGGTGCAAACATGTGTTCTGTTCTGTCGAGTAGCTGATCATTGATGCTAGCTATTTATATTCCACAACGTTTAGCATGATGTTGCTGGAGACCAAAGTTACTCCATGCAACTTATGGTGTCTTTATACTCTTTAAGATCATGCCTTTTTTGTTTAGTCTGAACTAGAAAATAATCAAGTTGTATCAGTGTTGGTTTGCGCCTATATGTTGTTTTATTGGCTGGCATGCAAATTCCAAATTATGGACCAACCAAACACAAGCCAATCAAAATTGCCAAATATTTGGCAAGCCATTTGGCTTAAAACCAAATGATCAATGGTTTGCCAAAAAATTGACAAGTACTATGGTCTACAAACCAAACAGCCACAGCTTATCAATATTTTGGTCATGCCTTTCGTTTGTTCATGCCAACAATTTGGTACGGCTGAATGGGGCTTAATCCAAACAGGCCCTATATGCATATATTATTAGAGCGGGTGTAATGGACAGGAAAAAGCAAATATAATTTTGTTTTCACAGATGGAAGGTGGAGGTTGTATGTCTGATTGCTGTTTGCTTGCAGGACGACGATATCAACAGGCCTCTAATATCAGACAAGTTGGATGACTACTCGGGCCCAAGCAATAACCTTGGTAGCAATAATGCTGGTGAGTCTACAATGTGGACAAATAGGAGTACCACTTCACCAAGGACGCATACTCATCCCACTGAATCTCATCCTATTGAAGGTGCGTATATTTACACTCGGTCTTTCATCATTGTATTATACAGCAGCAGTTTGATTTTGTGTGCTGTTTTTTGGAGTACTCAGCTTCTCTATTAACCATCATCATAAATTTGTAAATATATATTTAAATTTGTAGGAGAAGTTCATGTGATTGATGTTACAAATGGTACACCGGAAGAGCTCCATCTAGGAAGTACGCTGAAGCGTACAGCGGAAGCAAGTGTGCGAGCATCTGAGGCGAAGCACACAAGAAGGGCTTCTGGAGAGAATAATAATGGCGGCATTCCTGTGAAGGATATTACAGTTGGTAAAACGTCCTTTCATTAGCTGGATGTCCTAGTGGCCCATATGTTGCAAATATTATACATGCATATGCTCATGATGTATAATCATTTGCTAGGAGTGCAGGAAGCCACCTAGCCTTGGAGGTCATAGCTGGCCCATCTCATGGAATAAACCGCTACCTGCAGTCAGGTAATACGTCCATGCTCCCAATGACTCTTGGAAGGATTCCTCAAAGCGATTTGGTGTTAAAGGATTCTGAGGTGTCAGGAAAGCATGCACGGATTGACTGGAATCCAAATGTAAGTTTCACATACTTTCCAATCTTTTTCACCTTCATTCAGCATGCTACTGTATTGAACCCTAGGTTATTTCGAAAATTGAGATATCTGTGGATGTAATTGCCGGAGTGTCTGCTTGCTTCTGCTGGAACTCTTAGTGCTTCTAATTTTCATTTTCTGCTACCTGTTTGTGGAGTTTGCAGCTGCCATTTCTGTTGTCAGTTATGATGCTATTCTTCTTAGCTTGATGCTGCAGTACATATGTAGGGCATTTCTGTTGGCTGTAAATATGATTTCGTGGGGCACTTTCAGATTTCACATTATACAAAGGAATATCACAGATTATAGTGGGTGTCTTTGGTTCATAAATCACAATATATTCAATTCATATCATTACAATGCATATGTACATGTGAATATAGCTAGCCTTCTTCCATCCCCATTCAGTAAATCATTACTCTTATATTGCAGACACTCAGATGGGAACTTGTGGATATGGGCAGTTTGAATGGAACCTTCTTGAATTCCCAGGCAGTTACCCATCCTGATGTTGGTTCTAGGCGTTGGAGTGCGCCTGCCGAACTTGCTGATGGTGATATTATAACACTTGGGAGTTCATCAAAAGTATCTGTAAGTCTTGGCTGCTTTTTTTGTTATCATTAGCATGAAAAATCGTTGACTGGCCAAGTGGCCATGGGCCCACAATTTTAATCATATGGTGGTTCAGGCTTCCAATATTTTGGTGTACAAAGCATTCAAACTGTATCCTTCTGCTCAATAGGAATCTCCTGTGCATTTGTGCACATATAAATAATAAATCAAACTATATCCTGTTCAAAATGGCACGGTATACAGATACACAGATATGTCAGCATGCTCAGTTATATTTCTTGTTACCAATTCAGTTGAAAAAGCTTGCCTACCTGTTATAAACTTATAACATTTTGAAACCTATAGATGAAAAAAAAATCTTCATCATATTTGAACTCTATCATTTAAGCAAATCATTCTTTTATTTATTGGACTATTTAGCTGAATCCATGTTCGTACAGAAAATAATCTTCTAATAATGCTACCTCGCTAGGTTCAAATTTCACTACAAAATCAACAAGTGCCAGTAGGAGTTGGTATGGTATCTGATGCAATGATAACCCGTCGAACTGGAAAGAAACTTCCCATGGAGGATGTCAGCTGCTACCAGTATCCTCTTACTGGTGCTCAACAGGTATGGAAATAATGCCATAAATTTTCGAAAGAGTTGGATTCATTCTGATTCCAATTTTTTTACAGTTTGGGCTGTTTGCCATTTTTGATGGCCATGGAGGGGATGGGGCTGCAAAAGCTGCCAGCAGGTAAATTTTTTGTGCCTATCCGTTTGTTGAAGTCCACATCATATATATTTTTTTCCTGTACGAGTTACTTTATCATATGCTTGACTTGGGGTGATACGATGACCTATATGTTGAACTGATGACTGCCTTTGTTGTGTAGGATTCTTCCAGAGAATGTTGTGAAAATTCTTTCTCAGAAGGAAACAATAGAAAGAGTTCTCACATGCAGCAATGCTTCTGATGTTCTTAAGTGTGCATTTGACTTGACGGAAGCTGCACTCAATCATCAGTATGAGGTTTTTCTTTTAATCTGGCTTTCTTGCCCGCATTTTAGTATTTTCAATGTTCCTATTAATCATATTGCTCGCTAGTCTATGAATGTGATGCAAAACATCAAGTCAAGGTTTATCCACACATTTGTTTGGTGTAATTGGTTGATGAAACTTTCAGGAATCCTAAATGTCTTGTGAGCCTATCTTACCAATCTGATTATGTTATTTAGTTTTCCATCTTTTAACCTTCCTTTGATGTTCATATTGGTTCTCTATATCTACCAAAAAAGCAACTTTGGGTCTGGAAGTCCTTGGTGTGCCCCTTGAGTAGTAAATCAGTAGCAGAAATACACTTTGGTTCAGAAAGTCTTGGACCCTGGGTAGATTTACCAATTTCACGGGTTTCAAATATCTGACTAAACACTTTGGTTGGCAATGTCTAGGCTCTAAATGGGCTTTTTAATTAGTGAACATACATACAAGGCATAGAAATACACTTCACCATTTCTTGAATTACCCCTTATTTAGGGAATCTGATGCAATGAACTTTTATGGCTCATGTCTGTCTATGTTTTACAGGGTTGTACAGCAACTGTCCTTCTTATTTGGTTTGATCAGAACAAAGATTGCTTTGCCCAGTGCGCTAATCTCGGTGACTCGGCATGTATTATGAAGTAATAACATCTATTCATCTCTAAAAAATATTTCAGCATTTTCCTTGAAGTAGTAAATCAGTATTCTCTTGTTATGTGGGAAACTTGCATTTCCCTACCCTTTATAATTCAAAATCAACTAATGCCTCCATTCTATTTTAAGGAATTGATAGCATAAACATACATGGGCCATGCTTGTGTCTTTATTTCTCAAGCTCTGTATCACTATAATCATATGTATACCTCTCTGTCAGTGTCGACGGGAAACCAATTGCGATGACAGAGGATCATCGAGTAGTCAGTACCACAGAACGAGCGAGGATAGCGAAATTAGGGAATCCCCTGAAAGATGGCGAAAGCCGTATATGTGGTATGTTACCTTTACTTGTATTGTGATGCTGACTTGACCAACAATGATCTCAAATTACTGTCTTTATTTCTGCAGGACTGAATCTTTGCAGGATGCTTGGAGACAAGTTTCTCAAAGAGCAAGATCCAAGGTTCAGTAAGGAACCATATGTGAGCCCAGTAGTTCAGATCTCGAAATCATGCTCAGCTTTTGCACTTATCGCTAGGTAACACAAATTCCCATATCTGCTAATGCTCATTCTCACTGATGCGATGCATCCATTGCCTGACATGCTTTGTGCCACTGCAGCGATGGCTTATGGGATGTCATTACCGCGAAAAAGGCAGCACAGCTTGTCCTCGATGTGAGATATCAATCGGCATTTGTTCATATTAGTCTCATATTTCTTTTGTAGTCACGTGATGCTAGTTTTATTTTGCCCCGTGTTCGCAGTATAAGGAGAGGAACATGGGCCAAGAAATCTCAGCGGACGGAGTAGCAGACCATGTGCTTAGTGAAGCCAGGAATCTGCGGACGAAGGACAACACATCGGTGATATTTTTAGACTTCGACGCCATGAGAATGGGTCGCTGAACTGCCAATTGATTCATTCAGTCTAGAGAGAAACCGCCCCGCTCGGCTGCTTCAGCCCCAATTGTTTTGTTCTTTTTCTCTTAGATTGTTTTTACCAGTGGTATGACTCCTATCCAGCACTCGAGAGTCTGCGCCTTGCTTCAGAGGCCAAATACAACCATCAGTTTTTTCTTGTCTGCAACCAAATTACCCGGGGAGCTGTTTTGTGCGGCTGTGCCTGTAAAAATTGTGAGGCGATGTGTTAGAGGAATGTTGTTGAACTTTGCATCCTGGGATCATATATATGCTTTGGACAAAGGCTCCCCTGATAATACTCATATACAGTACTAGAATCTTCTGTATTTGGCATGTAGAGATGGATGTGAGCACAGTCCGCCATCTTGCTCAGCAACAGATTCCTCTGTTTCTGTGGAAGAGACATTATTAAGTGCGACTTGTTGACGTTATACTAGAATGCATTAACTTGAAATAATTGTCATTACCAATACATATGAAGGCACTGTTAAAATCAATGCATTTATTTTCTTTTCTTTTTATGAAACCAGATAACCAGACCCACTTTCTCATGTCAGATTTTTAACCATGGCAAATCGAACGCTTTTCTCTGTGGCAAATTAAGTTGTCCTGAGCATGGCAATTTTCTTTAACAAGCATGACAAATTACCCTCCGTGAAAAAAATATAAGAGCGTTTAGATCACTACTTTAGTGATCTAAAATGCTCTTATATTTTTTCACGGAGAGAGCACTTGCCATGTTCAGGTTTGTTTTCTTCAAAATTTGATGTGCTTGCTAAAGAAAACTGTCATCATCCTGACAACATGATTTGCCTGAAAAACGTTTGATTTTGCATGCTAAAACTATATGATGTCCGATTTGTAGTAAAATCCTTTTTTTATAATTTCTTTAAATCCTTTTTTTCTTCATTGTACAGCAGAATATGTTTTGTATTTTTTCTTTTGTAAGAGCAAAGAAGCAGATGAAAAGTCGTGGTGAGATGCGGTGGGTCTGGTTGAACTGAAGTACTCCCTTCGTTCTAAATTACTCGTCGTATAAATGGATGTATCTAATAGAACAAGTAGTAGTAGTAGTAGTAGTAGGTGCATGCGGTGCGTGGAAACGAGAGTAATAAGCGTGGAGTTGACCTGTACGGTATAGGTGTGGCAAGTCGACCGCAGCTCCCTATTCTATGCATGTACTACAGTAGCAGCAGTGCTAGTGCTAGTTGCTCCGTGCAGCTCACACTTGTTTTTCTTTCGATGTTGCAGCTCACACTAGTTCACACCTGCTGATGGACATGGAAGAGTGAACTTGTAGCAACCAGCGAGTGAAGTATACTACGGTGAGTCAGTCAGGCATGTACGCATGCATCCATCAACCCAGCTCAGCTTGACAAATGACAAGGGTAATGAAAGCAACGCACGGTATCGGTACAGGCAACGAGTCTGACCGGCCGCATCCACGTCGATCAGATCAGACGATCGCCGATGTACGTATCACGCAGAAAGCGAGCCCCCCTTGGTGCCTAGCGCGGCGGAGCGATCAAGCCGTTCAACCTTGGTAGGCCCGTCTGGCCTGGCCCCTGTGAGAAACCGAGAAGAACTGCAGAAGAACCCAGCGGCACATCACATGCACGTCGCTCTCGCCTCTCCTCTCGTAGTCTCACATGGTACTACGTACGACCCTCAAGTCTCCGCATGGCCAACCAGTACTTGTCATCAAACAGCCTAACATCGCCGTCACAAGTCGATCCAAGTGCGGACATGAAGCAAGCAAGGAAAGCTGCTCCGATCCATCCAGATTCTTGTTTGCAGCACCTCTCGGGCATCCCGTGCCCGTGCGTCATCGATCGTCATCATCTGAAACTTGTTTTCCTTTTTTGGGAGGGAGATCATCGGAAACTTGTGATCCGTTAACATGTGCCGCTACCTTTTCCAGCCCAAGAAAGGCAAACCTCTGAAAAACAAATTAAGTTTTAGCGTTCTTCTCCTCTGCTCTCTGAATTCGACCGATCCAAATCTTTTTTCACTGGCCTTGTATTGCGAATGCGGCATACTTGCTAGTTTTTTTTTTTTTGATAAAAGAGAGCTTGCCTCTCCGATTTCATATATGCATACTTGCTAGTACATGTCACGGCCGATCAAAATCCTCTACCGCTCCTCTCACAAAATTGATTTTTAATCAAATTGCAAATTCAGTCAACTCATATACTATTGTGTGAAAAATAAATAAATAAATAAATAGAAAATGAATTTTCAAGGTAGGTACGGAACTAGCAATACTAGAATTTAGTACGTACTGTATAATATATTGTCCAGTCCACACACGCCAAAATGCATGAAAGTTTTCCATCGTATCGCGTACATATGCGTGCCTCTTTGATGCACTACCACTCGACCCGACTTGTATCACTCCCTATTTTACTACTGCTAACTCGACCAGCAACTCTGATGAATTAACCTGGACAACTCGACCCATCACACCAACACACGATTATTTGTTGCACTCGTCGCCGCGTTTCACGGTCCAAACCATGAAAAGCATCCATACACCCGTCCGTCCAACACCTGCATAGTATACCACCACTAGTGTCCGACGACGTCCGTCTCACACGGGCACCGTCCTGGCGTGCGCCGGCGCGGCCGCCTCGCCGTCGTCGTTCTCGCCTGAGAGCTCCTCGAGCGAGATGCCGTTGGACTCGGGCGCGCAGAAGGTGAAGCCCATGCCGAGGAAGTTGCAGGCGGCGAGGATGAAGAGCGAGTTCCGCACCCCGATGCCGGCCTTGTACCCGTGGTCCACCTTGGCCGGGTCCTTGTTCTGCGCCAGGTACAGGAACCCGAACGACCCCACGATGGCCCCCAGCTTCCCCGCCGCCGCCGAGATGCCGTGGCACGTCGACCGGAGCCTCGCCGGGAAGATCTCCGCTGGCACGATGAAGGTGGTGGAGTTGGGCCCGAAGTTGGCGAAGAAGAAGGTGAGCGCGTACAGCACCACGAACCCGATGTGGTTCCCCGGCGTCGTCCAGTGGTGGTACGGGAAGGCGAGCCCCAGCATGAACACGGCCATGAAGAAGAAGCCGCCGAGCTGGATCCAGAACCGCCCGATCCGGTCGATCAGCGCCACCGTGAACCAGTAGCCCGGCACCGTGCCGCAGAGCGCGATGAGCGTCTGCGCGCGCGCGATGCGGTGCACCTCCTCGAGGGCGCTCATCGTCTTGGCCTTGGGGATCCAGTTGATCGCCGTGAAGATGTCCTTCTGGAACAGGTTCTGCGAGTAGAAGGCGATGTCGAGGAGGAACCAGCAGGTGGCCGTGCCGAGGAGGTGCAGCCCGTGCCGGCGCAGGAACTCGCCGGAGAAGAGCCCGAACGAGTTGCGGTCGTCGGCGGCTCCAACGCCGTCGTTCGCCTTGGGGTCCTCTTCCTCGGCGCCGATGTCCACCTGGAGCACCTTGGACATGTCCGCGGCCGCCTGCTTGGCGTTCTTGGCGACGAGCGCCGTGTAGCGCGCCGTCTCGGGCATCTTCATCCGCCAGTAGTAGGTCATGAGGGCCGGGACGGCGCCGAACATGAGGATGAAGCGCCACACGAAGTCGGCCTGCGCCGGCGTGGAGGCGAGGGGGGCGTCCTGGTAGGCCTGGGTGGGGAAGGCGGCGCGGAAGGCGGCGGAGACGATGAGCGTGACGACGCCGCCGGTGAGGATGCCGAAGCCCTGCATCGCAAACACGGCGGCGATGAAGGCGCCCCTCGTCTTCTTGTTGGCGTACTCGGACATGATGGTGGCGGAGAGCGGGTAGTCGCCGCCGATGCCGAACCCAAGCCAGAAGCGGAAGAAGCACAGCGTGGCCATGACGGAGCCGGGGGTGGACCCGAAGGAGAGGCCCGAGGCGATGGAGCAGAGCACCATGCACATGAGCGTCATGCCGTAGACGCGCTTGCGGCCCATGCGGTCGCCGAGCCAGCCGAAGAAGAGCTGGCCGGAGAGCGTGCCGCAGAAGGCGACGCCGTTGACGGCGGCGGCGACGTTGGGCGGCAGCGAGCCGGGCGCGTCCGCCCCTTCCCGGTAGTAGTAGATGCGGCCGAGCAGCTTGGTGACGAGGGAGATGCAGAAGAGGTCGTAGGCGTCGGTGAAGAAGCCCATGCCGGCGATGACGATGGCCGTGAAGTGGTACCACTGCGTCTTGGCGGCGTCCAGCGCCGTGAGCACCTCCAGCTGCTCGCGCGCCATGGCCGCGAGCCCTCCTCCCTCGGTCTCTCGCCGGGGATCGCTGCAGTTTCCTCTGTGGAGAGA